TTTATGTATGTATTTAGTTATATTTAAATATGTGTACATATAAAATATGTAAAATTATGTATGCAAGTAATAGGGACACAGTTTCAAAGAGCTTGAATCCAAAGAAAGGAAACAAAGTTTAAAATGAGACACTAGAGTGTAAGAGAACACACAGTTAAAAGAAAAAGAAAATAGAACATGATAGAACAATTAAGGTTGGGAGAGACCTCTAGAGGTAATATAGTTTGTCTCCCTTTTAAAACCAGAGACAAATCTGCGATTAGGTTCGGTTGCTCATTCCAGGATGAGCTTAGCCCAGCATTTTGTTAACCATACAAGGATCCTGAGAAACAGTTGTAAGGAGAGATTTGAAAAAGGCTAATGCATTCATTTTGCAGAAGTTTACATCCTGTCCAAGCATGAACAGCAAGATAAAGGGAATGTAAGTGTGGCCAACCAAAAATTTAATTAATTAGAATTTTAAAGTCAGCTTGTATCACAGGCTAATCAGAAACAAGAACCTTGATACTTTGGCAGCAAGTAAGGCAGGATAGATACAATGAGGATAGGATGTGAAAGACAAAAGGAGAAGTGGCTCCACTGTTATGACAGATGAGCTTTTAGCAGGCTTTTAAAGATGAAGTGCTAAACATAATTCTCTGCTGAAGTTAAGAGTGCTGGAAGAGCTCAGCAGGAGTCATGAGGAGGTACCCTCTCAAAGAGGCTGCAGGTAATACATTCACTGCATATTCGAGTTTGGTGCTCCGCAAGTTGGCTGAGGCAATCTAGCAGTCCTACCACCCTTTCTCTTCCCATCAGCTGGGCTGTCTTTCTGCTGGCTTGGTGAGCTAAGTCAGCAGATTCAGTGCAAGGAGGGAGGCTGGACCAGGTACCCAAGGCCACAGGCAGCAGAAAATAGCAGACAGCTAGATCAGCTCAGCTGTCCCAAGGTATGTATCCTCCCAGGCACCATACTTTTCCTTGGATTCTCTCCCCCAACACAGTGGGGGACAGGAGAGGTGAGTGAACGGCTGCATGGTGCTTTGTTGTTGACTGGGGTTAAACCACAACAAAGCAGCCAGCAAGAGCTGTTTGCTTGACAGTTAAATCAGGTATTAGAGAACTTAAAATATTTTAATGAGTGCAAAGACTGCCCAGAGACAGAGATGGTGAAGAGGCTAAGATGAGGTACAGAACTCTGCAGCATCCCCATGGTACAGAGCAAGGGGATAGTCTCTAAAGGACATGATAAAAAGGCAGTCACAGGAGTATAGAGAACAAACAGAAAAGTACAGACATATTACATACAGACAACATTAAGAAAACCTCAGTAATAATTTTCCAGTGCAGAACTGTTTGACAAGGATGCTCATGTACCAAATTGGGATGAAAAGAAAAAATATTTCAAAGGTTCATGCAAAAAGAAATTCTAAAAATCAGATAAAGAAACAACTTTATGCCAATTGTTTCAAAACATCTAGGTTTAATTTTGATAATTTTCAATGTTTATTATAATCTATGCGACTCTTAAAATTAAGTATATTTTAAAATAAAACTTAATTCTTTTTTTCAAATATGTCAAGCTATGCCTTAATCTCAAAACTGAATAAAGAGTGTTATTTTGGCATTGAAACATTAATCACAAGCAATCCGTTCCTATAAAGAAGTTCAGCATTAAACTGCTATCTTCTGATGAACAACACTGAAAAATACCCAGCCATCTCTAAAGTTAAATTGCTCAGCATCAACTTTTTAAATAAGCTAGAAAATGGAAACACATACTCTAAATTGATTAGAACTCTTATCTATTATAGAGTTATATTATTTTCTGTTCAGAAAGAGAAGCACAACACAGTCGAATATACTGGGAATAGGTCAGACTGCATAAGCACATAAAAAGCACTAACCTGAAGATTGCAGATGCTGGGACCTGATACAGAACAGTGCTGTTTTTAGAACATTAAAAAACAACATGGTAAGGCATCTTGGCATTTTTTCTTGTAACAGTAACTTTCCCTTCATTTCTTTCCTTTCTTTTTTTCCCCCCTTTTTTTCTTGCCCTTTACTCGTCAGGCTGCTTTCAGGGATGTCTGAGCTACCAGGCTTGTTGCTCTCAGTGGTGCTGTCAGAAGCAGCAGTTTGTCTGCATACTCTCCATTATAGGAGTCAGTATTAATTAGTAAAATGGAATATCAAACCCAAATATAATTAGGTTGTTGAAATAATAACCTGAAAGTATGGCCTAATTCACACAGAGTGCTAATAAATATCTGCCATGCTCACTGACCTCATTAGAACTGAAGCTCTGAACTACTTGGAGTCAGTGGCATTATAAGCTTAGGAAGTTTCCATAACCTAAATTACAAAGATATAAGAAATAAGCCCTGCAATCTTCAAATACTGAAAAATACTGGAGGGGGAATCAACAAAATTATGAATCTTGCATTTAAAATAACTAACATTAATTATTTACGATACAAAAAATCAAAATGTCTCTACTCTCAAGACTACTTATTGACATTCTACAGTGCCTAAAATAAAGTGTTTTAAACTAACTTTCATTAGTGTCATGATTAGACTAAGAAGTTGTAAGCACCATAATTTAACACTATTTTATCAGCCAGCAATAATTAAGTCTAACTATACATGCCCACCATGTAAGCTGAAATAGATTATCACAGAAAATGCAGAATCATACAATGATAACTCTTAAAAGCTGTTTCAATATAAGAAATTAAAATCTGATTTTGAATGAAATTACAACAGAAGATCACACATAGCTGTTTAGTATATGTCAAAGAAAACAAAGAAATTTTGAAAGGAAGGGCAAGAAGTCAGAACTCAAACAATCCATAAAATCCCTGCCTGTGGCCATGTCCGACTACAGAGCAGTGAGGTGATGAGTGGCAGCCTCATACCCTGCAAAGAGGACAAGCTAGTTCTGTCCTGGCATAACAGACACTTTTGATGAACAGAAAATGCCAGCAGCTTCCCCAGATGCTTTTGGAAAGGCCATTGAGTACTGTAAGACCATAAATACTCAGAAGAACAGATTTGACAAACCTAATTCCATAGCAGCCCCTTAAAACATAAGGTTTTTTCACACAAACAGTAAGGTATTTGTTATGAAATAGGGTGGTGAATGATCTCCCAGGAAATTCAGTAAGTAAAATGTTTCAAAAGGTCACCAGCCCTTAAAAATGCAGGAAGAGGCTGTTTATAGTGTTTGCTCATACTGACGTGTTTTTGTGGGTTTTATTAAAAGACAGGATAAAATGGAAGTGAACACAAAACAAAACAACAACTTTAACAACAACAATTCACTTCATTCAGTTTCTATGAACAGTTGCTTTCAGGATTTTAAAAACTGTATGAATTCTATACCTGACATTTAGAATTTCATAGAAGTAGAACAATATACTTCACTTACAATTTAAAACACAAATCATGTATCCCCCATCCAGATCCCACTGACCAGTTCTTACTATAGCACTGTGAAAATAAAACTACTTCAACTATTTGGTTTCTAACCCTAAAACTGAAGTCCTATTTGGCCCCATTTTTGAATCCTAAAGCATCATTTTAGGGTTATTATGACAAACACTAAATATTCTAAATGTAGAGTAACTGAATGAAAATTATGTTTTGAATATTCTACTACAAACTCTTTTCTAGATATTTTCTTCACTCATTCTCACAAAAGCAGATTTAATACATGAAATACTCTATTGCAACCTAAGGGCAGAAGAATTACTAACTGGGACTAGAACAGAACACAGCATATATTTGGAGCACAGTTTATACAGATGCTATGGGAGTGGGGAGGGGTTTGGCTGGTTGTTTTTGCTTTGGCAGATCCATTGACCTAAGCAGGTCATGAAAATTAATTCTTTTTTACTATAGTTTCTAGAAGACAAGGTCTTCAACTCATCTCTACACAACTTCTAATGCATGTATTTCCATATATATGTTCTACGTTACATTATGTTTAGCAGTTTAAACATAAAAGGACTAGCCCCATTCATTTTATATGGATTGTAACAGAAACCACTATGAACAGTATTTTGGAATGAGTCTTCAATAGTAGCCTCACAGTCCAAAGAGTTTAGCCTACATATGTCTATTAACAGCTGGTATGTTGTGATATTTGTATGTATCCCCATTTCCCCTACTGGTATTGAACTGGGACAAAACCAAACCACAGGATATACCACTCTGGAGTTCTGAATATGAACTGCAGTCAGGATTTGGTGTCACTGACAAACCAACCTTTATTGCCAGCTGATTTTTTTTCTCGACATTCCACATAAGCTGCAGCATGTCTCAGCTGAGAAAACAGAGTACAACATGCCTTTCCTTTCCTTGCACGCTGCTCCACATTCTTTTATTTATGAAGGCACAAAACATCTGAAAGCCAGCCCAAGGCTTTCCTCAGTCCTAGCAGGGCCACGGTGTGCCATAGGAAGCTGCGATTCCTTTTTAAATTGTGAACAGGCAGGTTTTTGCTCTAGGCTTCCTCATGAATGGGAAGAGTTAGTAAAATGAAGGTTATGTTAACATGTTAAACTAGAAACACGCCTTCAGTATAAGTTGAACTCACATTTACTGATCAACTGTTGCCCATTTGCCTCAAAGACAGAAGCCTGCAAGTTCTTCTCAAGGAAACTGTGCTTTGATTTCTGTGCAGCTATTTATTTGCTTAGTGGTTGTAACCAATCTGAGCATTGGTAGAAGGAGCATCAAGCAGGATCAAGTACATGACTGCACATAATTTTACTAATTATATTTATTGTCTGCTGGATATAAAATCCTCTGAAGTGTATCCAAAGGTGCTCTAGGGGACCACACTGAACAACTGAAACAACTGCTTGCCAAGGGAGTCATTAACACTTCCAACTGTTGAGTCACTTCATAATTTCCCTTACACTTTCTGCTCACTGTTTAAAGGAAAAGGGAACGTCAAACTCAGACAGCTGGTAAGGCAAACAGAAGGATCCCCTGAACTTCTGTCATGCTACAGAAATTGAAAACGGGATCTCTTCTGGATTCTCGTCCACCAGAATGTGTGGGAATTGCCTTTTGTTGCCTCCAGATGTCAAGGGTGTGGGAGAGAAACACGGGAATCAAAGACAAGCAGAGGGATTCTAAGCAAAAATATTTTGGAAGTGTGAAATGTAAAACTCTCCCTGGAACATTAACTCATCCTCAGTGAACACACACTGAATGAAAATGTGCTTTGAGATGAATCACGATTTATATCTTAATGTTTACAACCAGTGTGGGATATTTAGTTTTATTCCCAGAGCCCTAAATCAAACCTTAATCAAAACTCAGCTTAGGCCTCACTGGGACTGCTATATGAAGTTTTAAGTTTTACATTAAAAAATCATGTTTTACAGGTACTTCATAGCTCCTAGTAGCGGAAGAGAATGAAATCTAATTTTCTGTACTAATTTCTCTCATGTTCTGCATTAACAAGCACCCGGCAGGGGATACTAAAAGTCTGATAGCCCAGACTCAGACGGATAGATTCAATAATGCTCAAGCTAGTGCATAAATGTAGTCTCATTGCCGTTTTAGATCCCGACTCTTACATGGCTTAAAAGGCTGAAATGGGTTATTCATAGGATACCAAATTATATATTAAGCAATCAGAAATCTTCTTTTCAGACACACTCATATGGAATGTAAGGAACACAGCCACTCTATAACTGAAATATGAACTCTCACAACTTACCATGTGTGCTGGTTTTAGTTGGGACAGTTAATTTTCTTCACAGCAGCTAGATATGAGGCTCTGTTTTGGATTTGGGCTGAGAAGAATATTGATAAAACTATTGGTTTTAGTTTTTGCTTGTTGCTAAGGAATGTTTAGATCAAAACAAGGGCACTGCACCTGTATTCCCAGCTTCTTCTCTACAACACAGCCCGGACAGCTGATCCAACCTGACCAAAGGGACATTTCATACCATCAAAAGTCATGCTCAGCATATACGTTGGGGGAGTTGGTCAGGAGAGGAAATTGCAGCTTGGGTACTGATTAAGCGTCGGTCAGCAGGTGGTGAGAAGATGTATCACTTTGTTTTCCTTCCTTCCTTCCTATTTTTGTTTTATTACATATTATTATCGTTAGTAGTAGTAGTATTTTCATTACATGTTATTAGTAGTATTATTAATATAATATTTTTTTTCACTTACTTATAATTATTAAACTGTTCCTATCTCAGCCCATAACTTCTCTTTATCTTTTTCTTCCAGTTCTCTCCCCACCCTACTGGAGGAGAGAGGGGAGGTGAGCAAGTGGCTGTGTGGTACTTGGTTGCTTACTGGGGCTAAACCACAAACCTTGCTTCTAATTTTTTTTCATACCTCAAATCTAGAGGTGAAAAGATATCACCTTCTTAACACCAGGAAACTTGCCACTTTTATAAAAAATTCCTCTATCTATAAAGTCATTATTTTTAATCACAGAAAGAAAAATTATGCCCTTTTGAACATCAGGAATCACTGCAAAATAGGAGGCAGAACCTAAAAAAGCCAAAGGTATAGCTTACAGAAGAGAGTGCTCTGTCTTGCTGCCTGAACAAACCCAGCCCTTTTGGGGTACAGTGTGGTTACAGCAAACCTTTACAAAGGAAACTATATCATTTCAGCAAAAATCTATTTGGAAATGGAAGACCAGGACTCACCAGTTTTGAAGGAGCGTAAGTTCTCTAACAATGAAAACTGTTCATGCTAAGTCATTTGTGGGATTAGATAGGTACCGAATATATGCATGCACTTATACCCATATCACATACACAGAGAAGCATTTAGCCAAGTTCAAAAATATTACAAGAGGTTTATGGGTGAAGTATTTAATACTTGACTGCAAGCATTTGTACTATATCATACACTTAAGAACAGAAAATCAACCGACTACCAGAATGGAAAAACCCAGCTTTACCATGATGCTGTTGAGTGCTTTTTCCCCACACATTAGCTTACAGGTTGGCAAACCTGCTGGGAGCTTGCACGTAAAAGAAGCAAAGCATCATCTAGTCTGAAACAAAAAAAAAGTCAGAAAGAGAGTCTGGTGGATAAGAGAAGTCTGGATGTGACCCTCACCAAGAGGGAGTACACAGAGCATTGTTTTG